ATAAGTAAGTAAATGAATAAATAAATGGTGCAAAATGGAACTGGAAAATGAGATACAATACGGCAGCACTTGATTTTATTGGGATAAAATAACACCCTCTTTCTGCTGCACATGAGAGACGTTAAGGCATCATCTCTCTAGTGTATATGGGCATCAGTGTGATTGGAGGTACTATTCAGTGACTGTTGGAATAGAAAAAAAAATAATTAAACACAGGATGGTGATGCATTTTCTAATATAGTTCCCATTTGAATGTCTGCATTTTATGCAGTACATTAGTCATTCTCATCTTCCCACTGAAGAGCTTGTCAGTGAGCAACAGACATTTGCTGTTGTGGTAAATTAGAAGGAGGCTTGGATATGGATTCTGAAAAGATGCAATACGCCAGTTCACCTACCAAATAAGTGGGTTTTTTCATTTTGTGCACACATTTGCTGTACAGTTAATATTTACTGTGGCATAATTTCAAGCAGGTATACAGATGAGTAATTGAAACCTCATCCAGAAGCCATGTGAAGATTAGGAAAACTGTCAATAAATATACTGGAGGGAGGAAGGAAGGACTAAAAAGCACACTAAAGATCAAGAGATTTGTCTTGCAATGTAAGTGCAATTCCAATGAGCACCATATGGTTCAAATGATACAGTCAAGTGAATGAGGAGATTCATACTAATAGTCTATTAGGGTTATGAATAAAAGAAATCTATATGTATGTATGTATGTATGTATGTATCCATCTATCTGTACATTATTAGAAGAGAAGATTGAGCTTGGATAATATAGTGTCTTGATATCAAGAATAGAAAGTAATTTCTATTTCTTCATTTCTATTCTATTTTCTGTTTTGTTTTGTTTTTAGATTAAGTTAATCAAGTGATTTGTTTTTTCAAGGGAAAATTATTTTTTACTAAAATATAATTGATATATAATATTGTATAAGTTGAATGTGCACAAAAGCAGGTTCAAAGTTATGAGTATGTGAAATAGAGTACATTCTTTTATTATTATTTATTATTTGTATTATTTTCTATATGAACAATTATAAACCTACTTTTGCCCCATCTATATATTACAATATGATTACCACAGCAGCATTAGATGACACCTCTATCATATCATATACCATTTATTTTATTTTTTTGGTGAGAACACTGATGATATACTTTTTTTAGAAACTTTGAAGTATATAACACAGTATAATTAACAAAACTCACTATGTTGTACATTAAATTACTCTTTGTGCCTTTTAACAGTATCTCCCCAATTCCTTCACCCCTGACCCCTGTAACCACCATTCTACTCTCTCTTTCTGAGTTTGACATATTTTAGATTCCATACATAAGTGATATCTATAGTATTTATCTTCCTCTGTCTGATTTATTTCACTTAGAATAATGCCCTAAAGATTCACAAATGTAGTTTCAAATGACAGGATTTCCTTCTTTCTTGTAGCAAAATAAATATTCCATTGTGTATGTATATTACATTTTCTTTATCCATTTAACTGTTGACAGATACTTAGGTTGTTTCCATATTTTGGCTATTATGAATAACTCTGTAATAACAAGGGAGTGCAGATATTATTTTGATACCGTGTTTTCATTTCCTTTGGGTATTCCCAGAGTGAGATTGCTGGATCATGTGGTGGTTGTTTTTCCCATACTAATTTTCATGGCTGCTAATCTTACTTATTAATCCTAATATTATTTATTAACCATAACCATGTACAAGAGTGCCATTTTGGCAATGACACCAAAAGCACATGTAACAAAAGCAAAAATAAACAAATGGGACTATATCAAACTCAAAACTTTTGAACAACAGATATGATAAAAAAAAAAAAATGAAAGGCAACATACAGAATGTGAGAAAACATTTGCAAACTATGTATTGAATAGTATCCAACATATATAAACAACTCATTACGAAAAACAACAATAACAAAACTAATTTAAAAATTGACAGAGAAATTGAATAGACACTCTTCCAAAGAGGACATACAAATGTCCAAACGGTCCATAAAGAGATGCTCAATATCCCTAATCATCAGGAGAATTTAATTCAAAATCACAATGAGATATAACCTCAAACTTTTTGGAATGACTATAAACAAGGGAAATTGTTATTTTTAATGTGAACATATTTTTAAAAGAAATGTTTTCATCAAGTTTAGAAATTTTAAAATATATTTTGGAGACTTTCTAGTGCATTATATATATATATATATTTTTTTTTTTTTCTTAATTTACATAGCCATTTTGACTTAAAACAAATTAATTTGGGGGAATGTGTCTGCCTTTCAATTTTCACTTATGTATATGAAAATACAGATTTTATCAAAGTGGAGTTTGTTTAAAACAATTACAGCTATTTTATAAATTTTGCATATATATATATATATATATATATATGCATTCAAAATTGCCATTTTCTTTAACTACATAAATCTTTGTGACTAGCAAATACAAGACAATCATTACTGATCAAAAGCAAAATGATTCTGTTAGAAGATAATGGGGTTTTAAAATATTAAAACATGCTTTCAGTTAATTTGTATACAGCTATATTTATTTTTCATTTAGCCCAAATAATATACATTCCCTCAAAATGTGCATAAAATGTCAGGTATTTTAAGAACCCTGGATATATTAAAGAGCAGAAGTTTTAACAGTCAAAATTTGAATACTCTCAGTTCAAATGAACAAACTCAATAAAATGGAACAAAAAAAATCCCTTTGATTCTATTTCAATTCACTTTATGAAAATAATGATATTACTATTATATAGTATGTGCTGATACTATTAATAAAGTGATATGATGGCTGGCATTTATTTAGGTTTTCTCTGTAAGCTTAGTTCTACTACATGTTTTAGAGGTTTGTTTCTATTCATCTCCATAACATCTCTATGAGATGGATAGTCTTATTTTTCTTCACTTTTTGAAAAAGATCAGAGACTTACTTTTTCAACCAAATACAGCTAGGAAATGGTGACGGGTAAATTTATTTATTATTATTTAATTTTCATTCTTTTAACTCTTTAGTAAGTGATTTGCTGAAATAATAAGTTACACAAAACAATAAAACCGTTTTTTTTTGTGTTTTTTTTTACATCTTAAGTTCAGAGAGGATAAAGAGTCAACATGATGGGTAAGGCCTATTTCACATTTAGTGGGAGAGAGTAATACCCTGTTTCCCCGAAAATAAGACAGTGTCTTATATTAATTTGTTCTCCCAAAGTTGCGCTAAGTCTTATTTTTAGGGGATGACTTATCTTTCCATGTGCTAGGTCTTATTTTCGGAGGATGTCTTATTTTCGGGGAAACACGGTAGTAGCAGGAGAGCACAAGCTAACAAAAAGAATTTTAGAAGATGGTCCCAATGATCATAAATTGCAGCAATTGTATCTGGAACAAGAATGGCATGTTTATGATCAGGTGAAGCATTTATAAAGGCAGCATGTGTTAAAGAACATAACACTTTGGGCGGTTAAAAGTTTCTCATCTTTGGGTAAAACCTACAGAAGATGTTAGCGATGACCAACAACCACTCTTGTAAGTGTTAGTTCTAATAACTACTTCTGGCTTTCGATGATCCTTCAATAGGAATCCACAACTGAGTCCAAAGCCAGATTCTATGGTGTCCAAGGCAGGGGTGGGGAACATCTGGCCTGTCAAGGGGTGAGTTAATTATATGACCAAATATACAGTAGTAAGCTAATTTTTAAGTTGATAATTTTGACTTGGCCCATGAACGATGTTATAAATATCCAAATGGCCCTTGGCAGAAGAGAGGTTTCCCCACCCCTGATCTAAGGGTAGAGTTGATTCAAACTTGACCCTCATTTTGAAATATTTGATCGCTGCAAAAACATCTAGGGATCAGAGCAAAAATCTGGCAGAGGCGAAAGGTGTCAGAAGTTTTGAATTTGGCACAATTTACCTTAAAGGCCTTTGAAAGTTCAAGTGCAGGTCTGGCAGTGCCTTTGGCAAACTTTAGTGTTGCTGTATTTCTGCGGAAGCTCTTGGGCCCGTTTCTGCATTTCATGGATCATGGCTGCCAGGACCCAGGGATCCTCCTGAGGTGGAAAAGTCCAGGCAGTGCTTCAGCACTTTCTCCAGCACTTTGGGAAGGGCCAGGTCTTAACATTTTTAAGGAAACTTAGCTGTTCTCTCATTCACCTTCATAGTAAGCCTTTTGGTTAATACAGGCAGTAAAACAGGGCCATTTTTCTCTACTTTTCCACTGACACTGAGAAATAGAGAGGACTCTCCTGCTTCCTGTTCAGGGTCATTTATTAAAACTATTTATTGTGGATTTTACAGGGTTTGCTCTTCTGGTGTTGGCGGATCATCTCTGCCAAGGTCTCCTGAACTTCAGCAGCGGTTCTCTGTGAGTTTTAGAGACTGCTGTGTGTTTCTGAGAAGAGTTCCTTACAAGTATTCAGTCAGCTTTTGTTCTCTTTCTTCCTGGAGTCTCCTATCTAGTTCTGGAAGCCTAATTGGCTCTGGCTGAAAGCTTAGATGTTCGTTTCTTCAGGGCTAGAATGTTAGTATCATTCAGAGCCTGGCTTTGTTGAACAGAGGCTGTCCTTTTGTGAATAGCACTTGCCCAGAAAGCAAGAGTCCCTTTTTTAATCACTGCCCTCCTGTAACCACAGGCAGTATGTGCTGTATAAGTGTGCATGTGTATGTGTGTAATATAATACATAGAGAAGCAGTGCTGTATTCTTTTTTTTTTTTTTCAGAGTTACCAATGAAAGCAATTAAAAAGATTTTACTAATTATAACTGAAAGACTTCTCTTGTAGGCTGTTCTCCCAAATGCTTCTGGGTAAAAGACAAGTATTTCCTATTCTCAAAACCTTTCTTCTCTTACGTATACACTAGAGACCCAGTGCATGGATTTGTGCACTGGTGGGGTCCCTTGGCCTGGCCTTTGCCTTCTCACAATCCAGGACCTCTCAGGGGATGTTGAATAGCCAGCTTCAGCCCGATCAGACAGGTGGGAGCCCAATCCTGTGTACTGAGCATCTGTCTCCTGGTGGTCAGTGTGCATTATAGCAACCAGTCAACCGGTTGTTTGGTCACTTAGGCTTTTATATATATAGATAAAGTGTGCCATCAGTGTCCTGAAAATTGAACTATAAGTGTCATTCAAATTGGGACGATTTGAAGAGAATCAATAAAATGATTATTTACAAAGTTGTGGTAGGGTATAATAAAACCACATGTCATAGGGTAGTACCATAATTTAATAAAAGTGGAAGCAGCTATCTCTCCCCAGACCTGAAGAAGGAAGCACATGTTCCCTGTGCTTGAACTTGAAGAATAGAGGATTGTGTAGAGCAGTGGTTATCAACCTTTCTAATGCCATGACCCTTTAATACAGTTCCTCATGTTGTGATGATCCCCAACCATAAAATTATTTTTGTTGCTACTTTATAATTGTAATTTTGCTACTGTTATGAATCATAATGTAAATATCTATGTTTTCCGATGGTCTTAAGCGACCCTGCTAGCAGTTCTCAACCTGTGGGTTGCTGCTGTAGAGTCCTTTGGTTGATGTCTTAGAACTGCTGCATGCATACAAGTCCTTTGGTTGATCTCTTGTCCCCCCACCCCTTCACCCTTTCTTCTTATCTTTTGCTCAGTAGTTGCCTTTGGATAAAGGATCCAGTTAAGGGAGTCCACACTGCCCATCTATCATAGCACACAGTGGGGGGGGGAATGGTAGAAATGGGAGGTAAGAAGGTGGAAAAAAAGAACTTATACAGCAGAAAGTGTTTAATATCATCTATTAAACAAAGGATTGGATAATAGATTATATGAAGTACTATTTATTTCCATAGCTTTTAATTAACTGAAAAATTTAAACCAATTTCAGTACCACAACAAACATATATAATAGGTAGATAAATGTAGCTTTCCCTTATAATAATAAACAAGTACAATTCAAATTCCCATTAAGAGAGTATGAACCGATATTTGTAGGTTTTATCTTTCATTTTAAGTATCATTGTGAATAAGATAATAGTAATTAAAAACTATTTAAGTGGAACTTTAAAGCAATTAGAGTATCACAATAAATAATTAGAAGAATAAAAAGTCAACATTTTGTATGGAAGAGAAATAAATTCAAGATTCCTTTATAATTCTAATCAAGTAGAATTAAATTTACCATTAACACAGTAAGAGCCTAATGTGTTGTTGTTTTCTTAATTTTAAATATTACCATGTATATAAACGAAAGTAATTAAAAACACCATGAGAAACCCTCCACATTAATTCAATTAGTGTTTATTTAAAAATATAATTGTAGCTTGTTAATAGTAAAGAGTAACTTCTATTGAATTGATAGAACAGCAGTGCTGTGAGTGCTCAATAAGTATCATCTTATTTAATTCTCAGAACAACACTATGAAATAAGGTTCTATTATGACCAAAGACACAGAAACTCATAGAAGTCCTGCTTATTTTTCTTTATTTAATTGATAAGAGTATTCCAGTAAAGAAGCAGTATCCTCATGGGATTTTGAACCCATCACCAGAAATCCAAACCATCCAAAAGAGTGACTAAGTGAGGATACAACAACAAACAAAATGCAACTGTCCTCATGGAAGGCAGCTCAGCATTACAGATAAAAATAAGACAGTTAAGAAAATAAAGGTAAGGTCAGGTACACTCAACACCTATCAGATATTCTCAAAATCCTGATAACTGTCATAAGCATGAAATGTATCACTTCCAAAGAGTAGCAAAGGCCCTGGCCAGTTTTGCTCAATGGTTAGAGCATTGGGCAGTGGACCAAAGGGTCACGGGTTTGATTCCTAGTCAAAGGCACATACCTCATTTGCAGGTTCAATTCCAGGTCCCAGTCGGGGTGTGTGCAGAAGGCAACCAGTCATTGTGTCCCTTTCACATTGATGTTTCTCTCTCTCTCTCTCTCTCTCTCTCTCTCTCTCTCTCTCTCTCTCTCTCTCTCTCTCTCTATTCCCGCCCTCCCTCCCTCCCTTCCACCAGGAAGAATGCCAAAAATAGCAATGACTAATAAAGCCAAGCTCTTCCTAAAGTACTTTTTATTTGTTTGTTCCAGGGAGCCAGTAATAAGCTCAATTTCCTGGGAAAAATTGGCCTACAACCTATCTTTAAATTATATATATATATATATATATATATATATATATATATATATATATATATATATATATATATAGTTGATTTCAGAGAGGAAGAGAGAGGGAGAGAGATATAGAAACATAAATGATGAGAGATAATCATTGATCAGCTGCCTCCTGCACTCCCCCACCCCACCGAGGACAAGCTCACAACCCTGGCATAGGCCCCAACCAAGAATCTAACCGTGATCTCCTGGTTCAAAGGGTTGACTCTCAGCCACTAAGCCACTCTGGCTGGGCTACAACCTGTTCTTGTAAGTACAGTTGTATTGGAACACAACCTCAAACATTCATTTATTTTTTTTATTTTTTAAAAAATATATTTTATTGATTTTTTACAGAGAGGAGGAGAGAGGGATAGAGAGCTAGAAATGTCGATGAGAGAGAAACATCGACCAGCTGCCTCCTGCACACCCCCCACTGGGGACGTGCCCGCAACCAATGTACATGCCCTTGACCGGAATCAAACCTGGGACCCTTCAGTCTGCAGACTGACGCTCTATCCACTGAACCAAACCGGTTTCGCCCATTCATTCATTTCTTGTGTTTGTTTTGTACTGCAACAAAGTTGAGTAGTTGCAACACAGATTGCATGACCCACAAATACAAATGTGTTTCCTTACTGACTATATTTTAAAAGTTTTCTGACCTGTTTTCTAGAGTAAAACAAAGAGGAAATGATTCATTTATTTTACTCTCTTATATTGGTAGACTTTTGTAATCATAATGTAGATTATACGAAATTGCAATCCATTTGTCTAAACAATCCGGGATCCAAATATCTTTAGAATTTCTGCCAACTCATTTATAATTATTTAGATTACTAGAGGCCCTTGTGCTCCTTGGGGGTGGGAGTCCCCTCAGCCCAGTCTGCACCTGCTTGCAGTCCTGGAGCCCTCAGGGAGGTCCTTAATGCTGCAGCTGAGGCAGGAGAGGCTCCCGTTACAGCTACTGCGCTGGTGGCTGTGAAGCCGGCTCAGGCTCAGGGCTTCTGGCTGAGTGGCGCTCCCCCCTGTGGGAGCACTCTGACCACCAGTGGGCAGTTCCTGCATTGAGCAGCTGCCCCCTAGTGGTCAGTACACATCATAGCAACCATTAATTCTGCCGTTTGGTCAATTTGCATATTAACCTTTTATTATATAGGATAATAATCTTCAAAAAATCAAAACATAATTATATTGGATAGCTCAATGTCATTATACTTAATTCACATTTGAAGAAGTTAAGTAACTCAAATTTTATTTTTTTTAGATACTAAGTCTTAGAAAATTTATGCCAATATTTCATTTTTACTCTAAAATGCCTGGACCATGGTAATATTGAAAAGAAGAGAAAATCAATATTTTTGAGAATTCATAAAATCAATGCATATTTTGCATTTGATTCTAAATTGAACCATAGCAACAACAAATACTTGAATTGTTTTTATATTTTAAAAGACACAGAAGAGCTAGGTTAATAAGCAAATTACTTTTAACTAGAGAAAATATTGACTTAGTGTTAAAATAAGTCTGCTCATTTTTATTTACTGCTCATCTTTTATTACATGGTCATATGCATATTTACAATTTTTATAGAATCAATCCATATGCCTGTGACTGTAATAAACATAAAAACAAACACAAACACCCACTCACATATTTGCAAATAAACTTACAGTGACTGAAAGCTAAACTAAGTATAACTATATGAAATGTATAGTTATACTTAGTTTAGAAATAATGTAGTATTGCTTAGAAATAATGTAGTATTGCTTAGAAGACTCAGACATTTTACTAAGTCAAGCTGTACCTCAAAGACAATAATGTAGCAAAAAGCAGAGAAGCAACATTTGAATTATTTTATTAATCACTAGAGGCCCAGTGCACAATATTTGTACACTGTGGGAGTATTCCTCAGCCCAGCTTCCACCCTCTCCAATCTGGGACCACTGGGACAATGTCTGACTGCTGGTTTAGGCCTGATCTCTGTGGGATCAATCCCAAACTGACAGTAGGACATCCCTCTCACAATCCGGGACTGCTGGCTCCCAATCACTTGCCTGCCTGCTGGCCTAATTGCCCCTAACTGCTTCTGCCTCCAGCATGATCACCCCCTAACCTATCCCTTTCCAGCCTGATCAATGCCTAACTGTCCTCCCCTGCAGGCCTGATCACCCCCAACTGCCTTCCCCTGCTGGCCTGGTTGCCTCTAATGGCCCTCCCCTGCAGACCTGGTCACCCCTAAGTGCCCTTCCCTTCCAACCTGGTCATCCCTAACTGTCCTCCCCTACTGGCCTGGTCACCCCTAACTGCCCTCCCCTGCAGGCCCAGTTCCCTCCTAACTGCCTTCCTCCTCTGAAGTCCTGCCCCCCCCCCAACTGTCCTCCCCTGCCAGCCTAGTTGCCCCCAACTGTCATCTCCTGCTGGCCTGATTGCTCCCAATTACCCTCCCCTTCAGGCCTGGTCACTTCTAACTTCCCTCTCCTGCTGGCCTGGTCACCCCTAACTGCCCTCCCTTTCCTTGCTGGCCATCTTGTGGCGGCCATCTTATGTAAGGGTGTGATGGTCAATTTGCATATTACCACTTTATTATATAGGAGAGTTAAATTTTTAGATGAATTCATGTAACAGGGCATACTGAAACTATAGATTATATGGGTTTCTTTTTAAATGCTTACCCCCAAGTATATGTTTGTATTGATTTGATTTGCTTTGATTTTTAAATATATTTTATTGATTTTTTTACAGAGAAGAAGAGAGAGGGATAGAGAGTTAGAAACACTGATGAGAGAGAGTCATCGATCATCTGCCTCTTGCACACCCCCTACTGGGGATGTGCCTGCAACCAAGGTACATGCCCTTGACCGGAATGGAACCTGGGACCCTTCAGTCTGCAGACCAATGCTCTAACCACTGAGCAAAACTGGTTTCGGCTGTTTGTATTGATTTTA